TCGAGTTGACCGAGTTGACCGAGTTGACCGAGTTGACCGAGTTGATCGAGTTGACCGAGTTGACCGAGTTGACCGAGTTGACCGAGCTGACCGAGTTCAGTCGAACCGCAGACCGCTATGCGCATCGGTTCTGCGCAGATCTCTCTAAGATCTCGTTTAAATCTCGCGCTTCTTTTCCAAGGTAATGTGATCCGCGAGAATCCGCGAGAGTTTGCTACTGTTTACTGTTCGCTTGTAACTCCGCTTTGCGTAAGTGTTCCTTGTCATACGTTAATGTGAGATGTAAGAAGAGCCGGCGTCACGCTCAAGGTCGTAGATGTACATTATCGGTGGTGTTTGTTGGAGAAACGAGGTTTCAAAGTTGACCGTGTATGATGGAGATGATTCCACTCGAGATAGGTACCCTTTAGTTTTTTGGGGGCAAACCCGTTTGCCCTATTTCATCGCCGATTTGGTGTATTGTTTAATAAAGTATAGACCCTCCCTCATCTATCGTGTGTTGTTTCTTTTGGGATCCTGTAGTTGTTACAATATAATAACCGATAGTAAGTTGGGCTCATTTAGTCGAATTCTCAACGATTTTTGTTCGAATCGCAAGCTTTTGCAACTAGTTCTAACCAATTCACTTGTAATGTAAGATGTGGCTGAAATATAGTTATGTTGGCTTGACACCTGTGTACTTAGTTTTGAAGTTGCACAATGTGTATTGCAGCTCGACCTTGAGAAAAAGTGTAATTTCTTTACAGTTTCTTTGCCTTCAAAAATGTTCTGTTAAAAGTTATATAGAACAAAAATGAAAATGAAAGAATATCGGCCAAATAGTAAGCTTCAAAACGATACCCACTTTACGGGTGAAAACAGAAGAGAAGGAATTTGGGCATGAACAAATACAACAACAGGTTGATTTTTCATGACCTAATTTTTGAAGGAGAAATTGGACACTATGACCTGTTACTGTAAATATACAAACATCGGGCATATGTACTGACATTTGTATAGTTGCACAAGAATCCCACTTTCTCTAGCGTCTTCATGATATAAGTCTTACTTGGAATGGGTTTCAGAAAGTCTGTTTGTGATGAAAAAACTTGATTCCTTCTTTTTATGAACTTTCGCAAACAGCGGTTGAAAGTTGCAACATTGTTGGCGGCGCGAAAAATGGAACGCGCTGCCTAGGTTCCATGGATCGAACGCAGGAGTTCGAAACCGATTGACTTCAAATTTGACGATTTTTGAATGGTCAGAACCTTGTATTAAATTCCTCTTTTTGTATATAATTGAATGTTATCATGTCACGTATTATATTGCATGTGGTAGCCACATTCAAACAGTTTCTCATACCAAGAAACGAATTTTACGACATTACGCGAAATGTATCAAAATGTAGCGGAAACTCAGGATGGTGTGTGTCAGTAGCTTACAACTGGGCTAAATTTGACCACCGCGATATGCGCATCGTCACAGTTTTTTTGGGGGCAAACCCGTTTGCCATAGAATTTACCAGGGGTCATTGGTATCAATGTAAAGGTAAAGAAGTGGGCTATCACACTGTGGTATTAGCTAACGGGATCCAGTTAAATAGTAAAAAAGACAAGCACAAATAAAATGACCAAAAATTGCTAATTTTTGGAAGGCCGTAGCGCTCGCTGTCATTTTGTAATGCACGAAATATCTACATGGTTGTACTGGGCAAATCCTGTAGATATGAAAAAATGTAAACATTGTGTAGGTCTGAGGTCTTTTTGCTGCACTATAGGCAGTTGTTTACACCCATGCAACGGGGTCAAATCGTGACCCGGCAAACGCCGTATCTTAGAGAATAACGCGTTCTACGGTGACCTGCGGTTCGACTGGTATGTACGTGTGTTCCTTGCAGTACCTGAATGAACTTTGACACGTTCTGCAAATAACAGTACTAGTCCTGAGACTGGCACATGACGGCGGGGTTACTGTAGGTAATTGGCCATAACAATCACCTTACGTACTAGGTGTCGATCCCACTACAAGAT